TCGAACTGTGAAGAAGTTCTTCCTACTGTCCAATCTAAATCTGCTCTCTGCTAGCTTGTGGCCATTATTTCTTGTAACCCCCGGGGGCGCCTTGGTGAATAAAACCTCACCAATTCCCTTCTGTGCCCCCGTGATGAACTTATAGGCAGCCACAAGGTCGCCTCTCAACCTTCTCTTGCGGAGGCTGAATAGATCCAGTTTCTCTAGTCTCTCCTCGTAGGGCTTGGTCTGTAGGCCCTTAACCATAGGAGTGGCCCTTCTCTGAACCCTCTCCAGGTTATCCACATCCCTCTTGAATTTGTGATACCCTTGACTCTGATCGTGTCTCACATTCCAAGTGAATCTCCTAGCCAAGTTCAAATCCACTCAGAAATTTAAGTGGATTTGTTTTCAGGGCAGGGATTAGAAGCAAGGTCTCCCACTTCCCCAGGTGTGACCTACCAACTGAAGTATTGGGCGCTCCTAAGTGAGTGTCCTCCTGTACCCCTGTCATTGAGCGAGAGAAAATTATTCTCCAAGCTGGTGGATTATTGAAGAGGTGGCACACCTATATTATAGTCCCTCCCCCTGTGAATGCTGAGTTCTATATACAAGAGGATACTGTTAATAGACAAGACTAAAAGCAACTCTTCTTCCCCTCCCCTGAAAATGATTTATTATTTTGTGTATTCATGATAACTCATTTTCTTTTTTTTTTCTTTCCAGCTGCATTAGAGATTCTACGTACAGGACATACTACTCAGGCTACAATTACAAGGCCCGGTTTAAATTTAATGCCTTCCATTTTATTAACTGGCATCCATCTGTTTACTTGCAATGCCAGATGGTGGTGTGCAGGGCATATGATTATTCCTCCCGTTGCTACCAGGGCTGCCTCTCTCGGTCCAAGAGAGATACCGGCTCTTCTCATGAAAAAGTGACTGTTGTTGTTGGCCCGATTCAGCTTCGGAGAGATGGCAGCCAGAACAGGAATGCTGGTAAATTTAAATCAACTTCTCTTGTGTTTAGTGTAAGAGTCTGTAAATCACTTCATATTGCAGGGGGAGCGTTATCTCTGTAGGTCACTGCAAAACACTGAAGTATATTTTTACTATGGTAGATCCAAAATAAACATGATGAGACCATTTGATGACTAATAAGATGTACACATGCTTTCATTTTGGCATGTTTCAAGTCCATTTATTTTCTTGAATTAGATAAAGGAGAGAGAATCTGTCTTGGTGTGCTAATTCAATCGAGTTTGTCACCCATGTTTATTCTAGGTAGTTTTAATGTCTGGGCTTGAATTCACTTCAGTGCAAACCTTGTCTGATGTGTTTACAATATCATGTATGAACTGTGGTCAGAGAATTGAGTGACCGATTTCCAGTTGTCATCTAGAATGAATCATTTCAAATTCTCTTTGCCTTGGAAATATTAGAGTGGGAAAGAGAACGTAATGCACTCTTCTCTTTGCTCACAGAACCGGACTTTTCAGACCATCAGAAAAATGTGGATACGGATAATTCATTTATTGCTCCTGTTGAAAATCACTTCGTTCCATTTGTTGTTGCTGCTGCGGTCCTGGCAGTTGCAGTTATCACTCTTGCTGGGTTTCTTTTGAAAAACAAAATGGAGAAGAAAGAGGTTCCCTACAAGATAATGATGTAAGATGCAAAAGCACCAGCACTGGACAGACACCAGAATATTAGGAGACTGACTCAACGATTCAGTTCTAGCATTTGTTCTTCACTTTTACACAACAAATCAAGCTTTCATGGAAATGTATGAAAAACGTACTGTACACCCGATGTTTTAGCTACTCAACTTGGATTAGAGAGGTCTGAGCATGAAAGCCCTGCACATAAAGTACCCTGGGGTTGAGCAAAATGTTGTCTCTTAGATTTTGTCTCCCTAATCAGTTGCCATCTCCAATAATGATCTCAGTGCAAATCCTGTATCTCAGCCACCAGCTCCACCTCCTCAAACTAGACCCAGCTATTACTCCCAGCATTTTTAGTGTACTGCAGTGAGATTCCAGAGTAGGTTTGGGCATCCTTGGAAGTATTATCTATGCATACAGGACAAGTAGCCCAGCAGCCTGCCTGATGTCAGACCTCCAGAGTCACGTACTCTCCAAGTCCCTGACCTGTTAAATGGGGATAAGAGCACAGAAGTGTTGTGAGGATGGTAAAATAGTGAAAGTTGTGAAGAGCTCAGATTCTTCAGTGGTGTAGGAGCCATGTAAGTAACTTGGGGAGTTACTTTGATATCTTCATCAGTAATAAATCCCAGTTGGATACAACATATAATTCTAAGTGAGCCTTTCATGTATACAAAGACGTGTTTAATTGTTATGTCATGGTTTCAGATATTGTTAGTAACTGCAGATAGCCAAGATACTTGAATGCAAGAGCAAGTTTTCCCTTTTCCTCACGTCCCTTCAAAGCCCGTTGTACTAAGACCTCAGAAATTCAGAGATAGGGATGAAAGACATGCGTGGCATGGGTAGTTACACAAAAGAGAGGTTTTATTTAGCAGAAATATTTTGGTAATCAGCCATGATTGGGAACAGAATACAAAATAGTACCTACAGTTATCTGGGGAGATGCTTGACTACAATGTTTCAAATTATTTCCAGCAAGGTTCTTTAAGGTTAAGTTTCTCATTGTAAAAGTTTTGTGCTAATTTGCAGTGTGGGGTGATTTCTAGTCTAAATGAATTTCATGGGTAAATGCTGTGATTCAAAATCATAAGGGCAAAGACCTATAATGCAATTTCTGTCTGTAAACTTGACATCCAACTCATGCTTCACTGTATTGGAGAGCTGCCTCTGTCATAAAGAAGCTTTGTCAAACAACAATTTGGGCTGCTGTTTTTATAAATTTAAAACTAGAGATATAAACCCAAACAAACACCAGGAAGTGAAAGATGCCTTTTGTTTTATTTACCACATAAAATTATGGAGAACCTGGTTTTAAAAAAACAGCTGTGTCTGCAGAATTAGGTCACTGATACTTTTTTCTCATGTCTTCTGTAGTACAACAGACAAAAGCTGAATGGTCAAGGTAGGAGTAGGAATCGGTTTAAATCCTGCCAGTTGGCTATGGCCCTCAAATGGCTATTGACCACCCTGGCTAGGGTCAGACATTCAAAAAGCCTGAGCCTGAATTGATTCAATCTTTGCAGGTTAGTCAAACCTGCAGAGAGTGAACCAGTTTACAAATGGATAGACTTTCGGCGCATGCCTGCAGTAGCTCAAGCCAGAAGCCTGGGGGCACTAAAGCAGCCCTCCCTTCCACAGGCAAGCTGAGCTGAGGAGGGGGCATGGCCAGATCCCAGCAGCTCCCTGACAGCTTGGAGCAATCCGGGCACACAGGGCTGCCCGGCCCCAGAAGGGAGCTCTTCCTCCTCCTCCCTCTCCCCCATTGCCATGGGGCCAGGACGGGGGCCTTGTTTGGTGTGGGGGGTAGGGAGCTCTTCTCTTCCTCCTCCCCTGCCAGCACCATGGGGTGGGGAGGGGGACTCTGTGAGACTGCCCAGCCCCAGAGGGGGACTCTTTCTCCCCCTCCCCCCCCACTCCTCCCTCCCAGGGCAGGCGGAGGCTCTCTTCCACGCTGGGGATAACCCCCACAGGGACATGGGAGCACAAAGCTCAGCTGGGCAGGGTTGGGGTGTGCAGCTGGGGGGTGTAGGGACCCCTGCTCACTCCCCCCATGACTGCACACTCCCCCCATGGCTGCGGCCCTGAGCATGGAGCTGAGCTGGGCAGGGTCGGGGTGTAGGGGACTCCCCCCATGGGTGCAGCCCTGAGTGTGGAGCTCAACTGGGCAGGGTGGGGGTGTAGGGGCCTCCCCCCATGGCTGCAGCCCTGAGCGTGGAGCTCAGCTGGGCAGGGTGGGGGTGGGTGAGGAGCGCAGCCCTGCGCAGCCTGCCTAGCCACTTCTATCCCCACAGCTCTGCACTGTGTTTGCAGCTCAGTCTCCGATGGAGATACCCTGCGCTGGACACTACAGGGAAGCAGGGGTGGGGCTCCTTCCAGTCGCAGCAGAGTGCGAGTGCTGGACTGCAGAGCGGGGAATGGGAGAAGCACCTGGTTCTGGCACAGGAGCTCCAAGCTCAGGCTAAGGTTCAGAGCCCAAGTGGGAGATAAGTCAGGCCTCCACTCTCTCCCACACCTCAGTGCCGGGCACAAGCACCCTGATCTCCCTGTCTGCTGCTGCTGCCAGGCAGTGCGGGGCTGCAGTCATGGGGGAGTGTGTGCAGCCATCAGCTGGACTAGAAAAGAACCACAAAATCACATGCATGAAAAAGTGGTGTACAGCAGAGTGATAGTCAATTGTGGAAGCTGTAGCACTGTTGCTGATGGACTCCCTGTGTTTGAATTAGTTCTGAACATGCTACAGGAAGGCTAGGGACAGACATTCAAAAATCCTGAGCCTGAATTGATTCAATCCTTGCAGGTTAGTCTAACCTGGCTAGGCTAAATCAGTTTGTGACCATACAGACGTCCCCTCTGGACTGCGGTACAGGTAGGGACCAGCGCTTGCAGTCCCAACCCCGTGCCCTGCACTCGCTCATCTGAACTGAGCAGTGGCAGCAGGGGACAAACTGCTGCTCAGCATGTGGGGGAAAATGGCCCCTCCCCTGCCCACTGGCTGTTCTTCCCAGTGCAGCAGCTTGGAGCCTGTGTGGAGCTGTCGTGTGTCTCTACCACGTCACTGCCACCTCTGGGCTGACCCATGGGGCAGCGATGGCAGTGCAGACCAGACACAGGGAAGCCCCATGTGGGATCTGAGCGGCTGCACCAGGAAGTACTGGCAGTGGGACAGGCTGCTTTTACCCTGCACTGAACAGCAGTATTTCCTGCAGTGCTGCAGCTGAGCCTGGGCCTCATGCCAGCTCTGAGCAGCAGCAGCTGTGGCAGAAGGAGCTAGACAGAAACTGCTGCTCAGCAAGGGGGAAAGTGGCCCCTCCTCTTCACCGCTGCTGGGCAGTTTTTGTGTGGCCACCCGGAGCCCACGCCATGCTAGGCTGCAGTGCAGCTCCTTCACTGTCGCCTCTGGGCAGCTCAGCACGGCAGCAGTGATAGTGTGGATCAGCTGCAGGGCAGCTCAGGGGTGGCAGTGAAGGAGCTGCAATGCAGCCTAGCACGGCATGGGCTCTGGGCAGCCGCACCAGATGTAGCAGAAAGCCCCCTTTTCCTCTTGCCTGCATTTGGTCTCACCTCTTTGGATATGTTTCTCTTTTTCTACCTTTTCTTTCTTCCTCTCTCTTTCACTTTAAGATAAGGAATTGTGTTTTAAAATGTGTATGTGTGCATTTTGTATCTCCCCTTGTAGTTTGATTTTTTTATCTATTTTTGTGCCATGGCATTTGTAGCTTATATTTTATACTCCTCACCATTCAACTTTCAACTGAATGTGTTTAGTTTCATAAGTAAATTATACATCTTAACAATGTTAACAAGGACAGGAATCAAACTGCCCTTCCCTGTATCAGGCTGGCCCCTGAAAGAGCGAGTGAATCAGCGATTGAATGTGTAACGTGTTTGAATGTGTAACATGGAAGCAGGCAGCAATTAACACCTGGGAAGCTGCAGGTCAACCAACGGAAGAACTCAATAGAAGACAATGTAACAACCGGGAAATCTCTAAACGTCACTGATCAAGGGCTAGAAGCCCTGGCCTGAGTTAATCAATGCCAGGGACCAACTTTTGGGCTGAGTATCTCCAGATCAACCGCTCCCAGAGCCCTATTCTAAATTCATCAACG